ACGACCAAAAGCAAAATCTCAAGCTTTTAAAACAACGCGAGAAATCGGCAGAAACCCGAAAAAATTTTATTCAACAATAAAAAAATTTGCACGTTCGCATCTCTGTATGTGTGCCTATGTATCTGTGTGTCTCCAGTGCCGTTTGCCGTTAACAAGCAGGAAGTGGCGCTGCTGCTTTAAAGATGTCTGCGACAGCGGGGAAGGGGAGGCGTAGATGGTGGTTGGTTTGGGGCTGGCTGTTAAAGATGCCTCACACAGCAGAAAAAAAAAACAAATGCAACAACAACGCTGTGCCAAGCCGTTACACTAACAATAACAAGCGACAAAAGATGCAGGAAGCAACAAATGTCGTCATCATCATCAGCATCGTTGTCTACTTCCTACAACTTCCCCCGCCAAAGTGCAAGCGCCTAGGGATGTGCGCCGCTGCTCACAGCTCATAGCTGCGCGTTGCGTGAGTTGACGCTATCTTTCAGTGTCAAATCTGCACAAAAATTTGCTCACTCATGTTAGTTCCTGCGCGCCACCCGCACCCCCAAGGCCGGCACCGACCACCGCATCTCTGTCTCACAGCCTCCGCTGCTCTGTTACTTGTTGGAGCTGGCGCAAGGACAGCGCTCGAAATTGCTGCAAGATTTATGCAATCGTCCCCCTCCCCCTGCACCCTGCACACTGCACCCTGCTGTCAACCACCGCACAACAGTCGCAGTTGGTGGCTTGTCTTACTGTATTTCTATTCCACTCCATCTTATTTGTAACTCTGCTTCGCATCGCTTGAAGTTCAAATGGTTAAATGCGCGCACTTCTGCTTCCCTCTCCGCATGGACTTCACTGAACCGGAGCAATCTTGCATTCGATGTTGACTGCTGCGCTGCCGAAACCGAATGCGGGACAATGGGATAAAACTGCAATCGAAGGCATCTGCAATTTCGCGTTAATGAAACTGAAGAAATTGGTATTATATTCTGTTTATGCACAAACTCGTACGAATATATGAGCCCGTACGGGGAATAAAAATAAAAATGGGAAAACACTAACCCAAAAATATTCACAGACAATTATGTATACGATATTGCTTATACGCCACGTAGCTTCAAGCAAATTGAAAATAGAGTTCAAAATTTATTGTTGAACCTTTTTAGAAAAGCAAGATGATCCACTTTCCAGATTACGTTTTCCACTTCATAAGTTTGTATATTCAAATGCTCCAGCATTTGTCGAAAATCATCCATTATGCAGAAAAATGCCGATCGGTCGTCGTCGTTGTCATCGGCAATGTGTGCAACATTTTATTTGCTTTGTTGAGCGTGAGGTTTATCGTCTGGCATGGCAATCACAGTTGTCTCGCACTGACTTTTCGGCAGCCTCCTTTTGGCACTTTTCGGAAGTTCAGCGTCTTGTACAATTCGTGCGGTTGAACTTCCGAAAAATTAGATATCGTTGCATTCAAATTATCCGGCTTCACTGCTTCGTTGCAAAGAGATGGAGCGGGGAGCGGGGAGTGGGAAGCCATCGCAAATGTATCGGCAACATCGCACATCAATGCGTTTACAAATCGCATCAATCTGGCATGCAGTGCCCGCCATTTGGGGCATGCAACGCGATTACTGCCGATTTCATCTTATGCGCGCGTTGCGGGTGTTGCTTTGCTTTATTTCCATTTCATTTGGATCCCAATCCACCAGTTTCCCACATTACCAAGGCACCTAGGTTTGTAAGCAACTAGGCATGAAGTAATCTAGGCACCTAGGCACCTGGATAGCTAGGCAGCTGCTCAGCTCAGTAGTCGTGCAATTTATAGCCGCGACAAGTTTATCAATACACGTATGTATCTACAACAAAAGTAACGCGTTGGCTCGTTAGCTAACTCTTTTGCATACCATGCCGCAGCATTGCGCCAATCCTGGCGACCGAGCTGGAGGTGGGGGTGAGAATGAGGGAGGAGCATGATTACGCAAGCACGGAGTACAGGCTGAATATTTCAAGGTGAAATCGCCGCACTCGTCGGTGGTCGAGGCAGGAAATGCAGCCGCGGGGCAACGTTTCAACAGATGGCAGCGCATTTCCATTTCCATTGACAGTTGATTGCTGTTAGGTTTTTAATTTTTATTATTATTATTATTATTATTATTATGTTTGTGTTTATTGGCTCTCTCGCCTGGCATAAATTGCAGCCCAGCCACTTACATCATAAAAATTCCATTTGTTTTCTCGGCGAAACTGATAATTTGTTGCGATTTGAGCAAGTGTGGTCTATAGTCTGAAAATAGGTAAGAAGTTAGTTGAGTAAACGCCCTCCTTGTTGGTCGGTTGGCCGAACCACGTGTCGCTCGCTGTAGGCCAACCGACTACTCGTGACGCGACTCTATAATGATAGACATGGCTTAAATCGGTAGATAAATAAAAGTGCTTTTAGCTTTATGCGCCCCTCTATACCCAGTAATTGCACTGAAAGTAAAAAGTACCAAGTACCTCCAGATAGTCTCTCAAGCTGACAAGAAAAATGATAATTCGCAGCGACATTAATCATGAATTATTAAATTACATATACCTTCATATACTATATACATATATATATATATATATATATATATATATATATATATATATATATATATATATATATATATATATATATATATATATATATATTCTCATTTGTTTGCTTACACTCTGAAACTATGCGACCATATTATATGTAAAAACTCATTTCAGAAGGTGCAATTGTTTGTGAAATAAAGGTTTCGAATTAAATTTGTTAAGCAATCAGCTTACGCGCCAAGTAAGAGTCGAGGTTTCCGGCTTAGTAAATGTAATATCTACTAAATCCACTGCGTTTTCCGACCTGCTTCCTTAGTCAAATAGCTAATCCATCCGAGCATTGCCATTTGGCGCTTTCTATTCCCTCACAGCTCTCATTTGATAAATAGGCAGGTTTTTTAAAGTGAAACTTTTCACTCTTTCTCATCAATCGCATCGCTGGTTTGAACGAAAGAGCCTCGCGAATGGCAGTTAATAAAATTAAAAATCGCATCAAAAGCACAATGAAACTGCTGACCTGAAAATTGGCGACTAATTGAAAAAACAGTCGTTCGCAAATTGTTTTTGCCATTCCTTCCCCATCATTTACGGTTCATCGAACGCTCAGATCAATTTAAAGCGACCGGATGGCTCCACTCGCCCATTACACTAAACTTAAACTCAATTAGCCAACTGGCTGACACACAAATAAAATCACCTCAGTATGGCTAATAATCGGTAATAACAACGATGACCATTTCACGCCCAAGCCCGGTAATTTGTGAGATTTTTTTTAAGTCCGTCGTTATGCAAGCCAACCATTTCCGATGCGTAAGCCCTGGGACGTGCCCAGCAATCAAGAAAGGCAAAATGGCAAGGGAAACATAGGCGTAAGTAAATAAAAGAAATAAATTCAAGCATAAAAAACTATCAGTGCTGAAAATCTGCAGATTGGCGGCATACAAAAAGTGGGGGAAAAAACTGAGAGGAATTGTTTTTGCGGTACAACGCACAGTGGCACAATTTAGAAAACAAAGACAAAGTAAGGCACACGCGCACTTACACATTTGCCCATTTCCCATGTGGGGGCACAAACAAAAGTACAGGTCTATGAAACACAATACAATGAAAATGGGAATGAAAATGGTGGAAAACCCACAACACGCGCACAGATTATTCAAATTGCCATTGTTAAGATTAGCACGAGTTTCCTTTTGATTTTCACTTTCGTCCGATGAAAACTGCAAGCGTTCGTGAGCATGAGCGAATTTTCTGTTTCATTTCATTTGCGCATTAAGGTGCATTTCAATATTCGGCTAAGAGTATCAGGGCAGTGGCAGCCGCGCAGCCGCAACAGCCGCCGCTCGGTTCGCCAGCTGCCGCTGAAGTGTGGCGGACTTCGAGTCGCAACTCTGTGCCCCAGCAGCCAAGTGAGAGCGAAAGTGCACGACATTAGTAGTCCAGCAGCAGCAGCAGCAGCAGCTACCCGAAAATGAGAGTGAGAGTAAGAGTGATATCTGGGCTCTTGGCTCTTGGCTGTTGGCTCTCGCGCATATCCGACAACGGGAAATTGTGAATTGCTGCTGTCGAAGTCGCTGCTGCTGCGACGCTTGCGGTGCCGTAATAAGTTGATTGTGCGGTAATTTCGGTTTCACTTGCTGTCCCACACAGACACAGTCCGCGGAACAGACGTTAACCTGGTTGCCAGTGCGACTTCTTCATCATAATTGCGCACACACACACACACACACACATACAACGGCAGCATTTGAGCTAACGGCAGCGTCGGCGTCTCTTTATTGGCCTGCTCAGTGGACGCTTCGCCGCTGGCTAGCTGCCGAACTGACGAGCAGAGCTGACTGAGCTGAGGCAAGCCTAAGCCTTAGCCACGCATGCGCATTGCCGAAAGTGCGCATCGCCAGCAGCAGCAACAGCAACATCATTATCATCATCATGGTCACCAGCGCCGTAGTCGCAGATGTGGCAGCACCAGACGTCGCTTACCGTGTGAACCGTCTCCAGAGTGTGCGCTCCGCAAGCCACCTTCCATGTACATGAATATGTGTCCGTGTGTGTGTGTGTGTGTCTGCTGTCCGACTGGAAACTGTGCATCTAGCTGAATTTCTGTATAAATTGATGATGCGACTGCATTGGACCGTCAGTGAAGCATTTGATTTGGTCTAAGAAACAACGGAGAGAGCCGAGCGCAGCAACCACTCGAGGATACGAAAAGTGAGATAGCAGCGATAGTTACAGTTGCAAAAAGAAATATAGTTGCAGCTACAGTGCAGACACATCCTAACACAGCCTTTTTGTTTATCCACTCGATCCCACACAAACACACCAACACATACACAGACCCAGGATTACTGTGCCAGTGCAAGTGTGTGCGTGTGATAGAAACGATTATACATCGAATAGATCCAAAACGAACCGATCTGAACCGAACCAAATCGCAGTGAACCCGTGATAACTCAGCCATGAAAGCCTTCATCTTAATGTCTTGCCTGGCGTTGGCAGCAGCGCGCCCCGAAGCAGGCTACAACTACAATAGGCCCGGCGGTGGCGGCGGCTCCGGTGGTGGTGGCAGCTTTGGCGGCGGTGGCGGTGGATTTGGTGGCGGCTCCGGACTTGGATTCGGCGGTGGTTCCGGAGGTGGATTTGGCGGTGGTGGTGGTGCCGGAGGTGGATTTGGAGGAGGCTCAGGAGGAAGCTTCGGTGGTGGTGGCGGTGGTGGACTCAGCTTTGGCGGTGGTTCCGGTGGAGGTGGAGGCGGCGGTGGCTTCGGAGGAGGTGCGTTACAAACGATTATCACCTCTGTGTAGTCTATATTGTTATCTCATTTTTTGCAGGCTTCGGTGGTGGCGGCGGCGGTGGCACCACTCTGGTGCAGAAGCACATCTATGTGCACGTACCCCCACCAGAGCAAGAAGAATCGCGTCCACGCCCGAATCTGCCCGTTGGCCAGGCACAAAAGCACTACAAGATCATCTTCATTAAGGCGCCTTCTCCACCTTCCTACCAGGCACCAGTTATTCCTCTGCAGCCACAGAATGAGGAGAAGACACTGGTATATGTGCTGGTGAAGAAACCTGAGGATCAGCAGGATATCGTTATTCCCACGCCAGCTCCCACGCAGCCCTCCAAGCCCGAAGTTTATTTCATCAAGTACAAGACACAGAAAGAATCCGGAGGTATTTCGGGAGGCTCTGGAGGCTTCACTCAAACCAACACAGGCGGCGGTTACACCAGTGGTGGTGGTGGTGGTGGTGATGGCGGTTTCTCTGGTGGCGACAGCTTGGGTGGATCAATCTCAGCGCCGTCCAGCAACTACGGACCACCCGGCAAGTCTGGTCCTTATTAAACGCCAACCAGACGACTTCCGGACGCACTACATAATGACACGTTCTCGGCTCAAGCTGCTGACTAGTCCTGTCTTTGATACGCTAACACGACACCTACAACCACAGCCATGCCCTAATCCACGTCAGACGAAGACGAAATACTCTCAACTTCAATAAAGTCCATTTTCGGACTTTACAACTAACTACGGACGGGACGATTCTCTGCGACATTTTCTTTTTTCCCCACTACTGTTCTGACCCAGACTCTCCCGCTTTGCCTGTGGTTCCACGACACTCATCTTCCCTCCAACGGCTACGAGTCTAGCAAATTCCTTGGACGGCTCTTTCGTCCTTGACTTTTGTATATAAAATGTTTCCCTTCATGTTCTTCTAACTACGCTATCTCATTCACTCGATCATTCACTTTCTCACTCTCACACTCTCGCTCGCGCTCTGTAACCATCTGCCTGTCCCGACCTTTGTATATGAAAATCTAATAGCTAATGGGTGACAAGTGCTGAGTCCTGCCAAGGACTTCACTTAGTTCACGAGCGGTAGCAGAAGAAGCGAAAGTAAAACGAAAAAGGAGATGATGAAGCGGAGGTTGAGATATGCTCCATACATACATATAAATATAAATATATTTTAATTATACTAGACTTAAGTATTTGTATGCACAATAAAAAACAACGGTGACAAAATTACGAAAAAAAAATCTTACAAAGTCTTTTCTCACCTTTGATTTAACAGGAAAACCTTGCAGCAAGCCACCTTAAACTAGGCTCAACTTATCCTTACCCTCAGTATTAACACCTTCATCATCGCCATTCTCGTCGCCTTTTCAAAATCATTTACCAATGCCTTTTGTTGTTTGCGGCAATATCGTGGGCAAACATCTAAGAATTTATTCGGATTATGGATGCCAATATGGCGAAGTCGGGCGCCACGGTAACCGTAGCAGAATCCGCACCTGGCACGCCGACGATAAGAACGAGCTTGTGCGACCGTCTTTGTTTGCTGGGAATAGCGCAATAGGCTCCACTCTTTCAGAACTGCGAGCCAGTCATATTGGGTTTTTGTTTTTTGCCTCGTCGACTTACGGCCTAGCCTCACAGTATGCCACGAAAATCATGGCAATCGGCTCCACAGGATATAAATGCCATATATGTGTATACGACGCTATGCTTGCGGCAATTAAATGCAACATAATGCTTCATAGAACTTGAAATAGTTGACAACTGTTTCAAAAACATGCCATGTATTTCTTGATCTTGATTCAATTAAATATCGTTTGACCCGACTATAGCTCGCCGTTAATTCGGCCAGTGCTTTCAAGCACTATATGTACAGAATATTTCGAAATCTTAACTATGTACATTTTTAGTTTTTTTTTATTTGGTAATGGCAAGTTATTTCCTTCAAAACTATGCAGTGGGTTCAGCAAGCAACCATTTCTAAAGCAACTTCCCAAAAAAAAATAAAAATGAAGGAATTCTATTAACATCCGAAAAAACTGCTTGAAAAATGAAATATTGTTGACCAGCTTAAGATTTTGTAACATTTTATGTTAAATTCTCAACATCATATGTTCACTAATTACAACAAACAAAAACGGATTAAAGCAAATATTTTGTACAATTTTAAGTGACAGCAATTTGATGACCAGTCGGCAAGAGGCAAAAGAGCACTAACACATTGCCCCCAACTGTGAAACTTCTTAAACTCACTTAAAACTAATTAAAAAGTAATTTCCTTGCATTATTCCCATAACTAAACTGCTAAACGCTGTCGGTGGTATTCTTCCTGTTTGCTTCCTTCAATTCATTTAGTTTTCTCAGCCCTTCACACACACTTTTTTATGTGTGGCTTTTCAGCCCGAGTAGCAAAACCACTGAGCGCCGTGTTAATTTTAATTAAGTTTACTTGACTCGTGTGAGTGGTTTTTCCCAATCAATAACAATGTCAACGGCAGGCCTTAAGTGCTGACCGTAGAAGACAACTGTTGAAATGTTAGATTAAGCTCGTACATGCCTAATTAATTTACTAGCGTACAAGCAAGCCAACAGTTAGGTGTGTGCTAAAATATCCGACCGAAAAAAAACGCTGCAGCTGATTATTGATTGACAATTATATAAAAACAGAAATTCCAATAGCTCGTAATTCCAAGCGAAGTTATCTGTCAATGTGTCTGCTTTAAGTGTCATATTAAAATATTAATCAAATATTTATATACAATTTATACTTTGTTCAAAGTCGGATACATTTCCCAATAATTACCTTGTGTGTTAAAATAGCAATTGTGAACCCTTTATGTATATTCGCAATAGATTTTAACTCTTCTAATTGCATATTTACATATTTCTATACTTTCTATTTGTCATCATTTTTGTATTCCATATTGTTTAGTTTATTTGCAGTTTATGTGTACATAAAACTTATTACTCCTTTTACATTATTGGTTAAAAGTCTGAGGGAAATAATGAAACCGACCTGGCTACTCGTATATGGATTCATCCGGTCTTATTGAGGATTACAGCTTATTATGCAAATGTGATGATTTAGCTAATCTGTTTATTTAGGCAACCTTGGCATTTGCAATACTTTCCTTCATGGTTAATAAAATCAAACTAATAATTCTTTAAAATAATATAGTATAGAATAATATAGTCACCATCATATTGTTATGTAGTTGTGGTAAAGGATATATGGTCAGTTGAGTTTTAAGCACGAGTCTTCATACAAAGGTTTAAGCTACAGACATTAACAATTCAGCGATTCAGCTTAAACTGTTCACCGACTTCTATCTCTTGCTTTTTATCGCTTTTAGGGCAGCGGTGGTTAATCGTGTTAAAGGATAGTAGTAGCTAGTTGAGTGCAGGGTTTTTCTGTAACCAAACACCGCATAATACACCGTTTTTTTCTGCTTGAGTGTAATGGCTTTTATGCTTGGAATATGCAGTGTTGTTGGCGTTGTCTGGCACTTGCCCACTGCCATCCATTGTCTTCGCCTCTTGAGCTTCTTCCTCTGCTACACTTTGTCACTTTCACTTTTGCCACTGCCGCACAGTTGCTACCCCTGAGCTCCCTTGCTCCCTTGCTCCCTGGCTGGGTGCAGCAGCTTGATTGCCGCCAGACCCCCCATCCACAAAGTCGGCTGTGTTGTTGTAGGTGGCTCACAATATTACTGTCTGACTGGCTCGTGCTGCTGCCTTTGTTCCAAGCGTCATATTTTAAGGCCATATGCGCAAATGTTTTCTTGCTTATTTCTCAGTTTGATATTTTTCGTAATGCAGTTGTTTGGGTTGCTTCCGGATGTCGCTGTTGTCTGCCAGTGTTGCTTTAGGTTTTGAAAATCATTAAACCTTCATTTCAGTCGTTACTGTTGTTGCTGCACTCACACAATCAATGCCAATCGGTCATGCATACTGGTACGTCTTATATTTTTCAAAGCAAATGTTGCAATGTGGTCGCCTTTTGGGCTTACCTTCAGCTTATGCCCAGCTACGACCTATTACGCAATTCGTTTTTTTGTTTTACAGTTTATAGCTTTAGCTGCTGCTTGCTTATTTACTGCATCCTGCTGCCGTTGCGGCCATCAACTTGGCAAAGAAATCGAAGGTTGTGTGCTCACAGCCATAAAATGTGAGAGCGCCGTAACTGAAAACTGACTGCCGCGGCTTTGGACATTCACCATATCCACATGCCCACAAGATGGACACTCACACAAACATGCACATCCGCGTACTGACCTATAGACAACACGTGCAATATATTTTAAGTATTCCTAACTCAGCCATAAAACTGCAAACGTGCTGTCCGCCCAACACATTGGCCAAGCAAACTGTTTTGGCCGTTGCTGTTGCTGTTGCCGTACCACGACAAAGCACCTCCTATGCAGCAGGTTGGTGCGTATTGCGTGGCCTATAAATCAAACATTGGCCAGAGCCGCCCTTACATGTGAATGGAGAATGTTGCCTCTGCCGCTGCCGTTGCAACTTGGTCGCTGCTTCCGCCTGGCATGCTGATATTTTACAACTTTTGAGCACAATTTTGTCACAGGCTTGGCCACACCAACCCTTCATATCGTTCCAAGCTATAGTATAGGTATTACACAGCCATATGCATTTTCCTTTAACCCACATATGGGCGCTTGCCATTGGCTGCAAACATGCTCTTGGCACTCGAAAAGTTGTCCTTTCATGCGTGCGAGCTGGCAATTTGCATATCATTCTTACGACTCTGTATTGTGCTTGTCCAGTCTATGTTCAGGCTGCTGCCAAACTATGCTTGTAATTTATATGTATTGCTTACGATGCCTTAGGGTCTTACCTGCAGCCTCCCGCTCCCACTCCCCCGCATCGACACAGTTTGCGGTTGTTTGGCTACGGTTTTGCTCGACATTTCACAATTGTCACTCAGCCTCTGAGTTTTGGCAACATTTTCCACCCTTACTCGCTGACATGTGTCTTCTGCGCCTGAAATTGGCCAAAACTTGGCAACAATAGTGTGCACACGTACGTATGTGTGCCTATGTGATTTGTATGTACCATGTTGCATGCTAATTTCGTTGCATGCTCGAAGTTGCTAAATATTCGACTCAAATTCTATGACATTGTCATCATTTCTGCATAACGAACATTGGAAAAATTTAACATTTTCCAAAACCTGTTGCAAAACAAGTTTATATTTTGTTTGAAATTGTGGAACGGCCACGTCATATTCGCAAACCCTAATCAATGTTTTCTTTCAATTTATGGGGATACAAGCCGTATAGCTAGGCTTTGTAAAAAAAAATGCTTCTGTTCTTCATTCTTTCAAAGTTATTGAATTGTTATGTCATTGATATCGGATTTCAAGCCATTTTGACATGAAAAACCTGTAACCATTACGGAAATTGCTTCCTTCATTGAATTCATGAGCATGAAAGGTTCAAATCTAGATATAGGTGACATTTGGTCTCAACATCTAGGCTTTCCTTTAAATCCTGCTGGACGCCATAGTTCGCCAAACATTCATCAAC